AAGGGGCAAAAGAAGCTTCCGCGTGGTGAGTTGTCTATGGTTGTGATGATGCGTGACATGGTTGAGTTCTACACCGCGCAGGCCCAGGCCAATAAAGGCAAGATAGCAAAACGCTTTGAGGCACTGGCCGTCGAGGTGATGAAGGAGCTCGAGAGTTTTGAACAACCACAAATGCAGACTGACCCAACCTGTTTGACTGCGAGCACTGTGAAGCAGCGTTCGAGGCAGACTGGCCTCAAGGGCCGTGGCATGCTCATTGAGTTGTGCACCGAGCCGGACTCGAACCTAGGTGTTGTTGGTGAGAGGTTGAACGTCAAGGTCACACGTTGCACCAAGGAGGTGAACAATTTAGAATATGAGAGTACCACGTCACACCTGAAGAACTTCATTCGTGAACATCCAAGTATTGATTTGTGGGCTAGCCTTCCTTGTGGACCATGGAGCCAATGGCAATACCTCAATGCACACCGCTATGGGGCAGAGTTCAGAAAGAAGTTGGCCAAGTCGAGAGACTTGTCGTTGAAGCTGCTTGATCGCTTTTGCGAGCTTGCCAAATGTGTTGTTGAGCATGGTGGAGATGTTCATTTTGAATGGCCCAGACATGCATTGGGTTGGAAGCAGGCTGCATTGTGCCAGCTCATTCGAGACATTGGCATGACAGTGGTGAATTTTGATGGTTGTGCAGTTGGACTTGTTGATCGGCAGGGCACACCGTTCCTCAAGAAGTGGCGAGTGGCAACAACTAACGAGAACCTCGCGAAGAACTTGAACGAGTGTCGCTGCAAGCATGGTACTGATTTCAAACATGCACCCATCACAGGTTCCAACACGAGCACGACTGCAAGATACCCAGAGATCATGTGTGAGATTGTCTTCTCTTCCTTGTTTCCTGACCTTGTTTTCAAGGAGGTGCCCGCCATGCCCGTTTGCGAGGCAGCTGTTTGCGTGGTTGCCCAGGAGCATGTCGAGAAGGAGCCAAAGGAACAGGTCTACCGTGGACCGTTGGTCATTGAAACCGTTGATACCTTTGCAACTCCCGCCGAGCTTGAAGATGACCTTGCTCCCGCGGATGACGAAGCTGAGTTTGCAGAGTCGAGAGATGATAGGTTGAAACGTGAGGCAAAGAGCCTAGACCACATCACGACCCACGCAAAGAAGAATCCTTTTTGTGAGCATTGCGCGCGTGGTCGAATGTTGAAAAGATATGCCCACGGAGTTCGACCTGAGCCTAGTGATGAAGCGTACGAGCGCTCGGCCGCTTTTGGCCGTGTGCTCGAAGCCGACCACATGTTTCCGTCGGAGGAAAGCGTGAGCAACGCTGGGGAGAAGGTGGCTCTGGTGATCGTTGATCTCTTCTCCGGTCTGAGCATGGCCTATCCGGCCAGAGACAGGTCAGAAGAATCCTGTTACGTAACTCATTGAAACACTTCGGTGGCCATAGGTTGAACGGTGATACCGGTGTCATTTTTAAATCAGATGCAGCCGGTGAGTTGACCGGAGCGGCGTCCAGGCTGTGCTGGACAATATCCCCGAGCATCCCCAGGGATTGGCCTCACGCGGCCCACGTCGAACGTGAGGTGAGGACCTTGAAAGAGTTGTGCAGACCAGCACATCTCCAGGCCAGCTTCAGTAAGAAGATGTGGCCGATCTCCGTTGTTTACACTGCAAAAGCTCGTGCCTTTTGGTCGCCTCTCAAGACTGGCAAGACCCGTTGGGAGGTTTGCACAGGTGAGCCCTTTCTTGGAGTGAAGTACCCTCTTGGTGCACTTGTTTTCTACAGGGCCAAGAGCGATGGAATGGCCGCTCCAACTACAAGACCAGGCTTGTTTGCTGGATGGCGTGTTGACTCAGGCTTGCGATACCGCAATGTCGTACAAGTTGTTGACTATGAAGCTGTCCGTGCAAGAGCACATTTGCATTGGAGTCCCAAGGACTTGCATGAGAAGGAGGTGTTTTTCCTCCTGTTGAGCACATTGAATTTCCCTTATCCAACGCGGCAATGAAGGCGTTGAAGGAAATGTCTGACCCTGATGTTGAGGTGAAGAAGAAGATCTATGACAGATCTCTTGAGTCGGGCGTGCTCCCATATGACATTGACATTGATGCTTTTCCGGAAGATACCCCAGTTGCACCCCCACGTCATGCATACATTACTTTTTCACGTTTGTTGGAGCATGGTTTTACGAAGGGTTGCCCTGGATGTGATGGTGGCCACTACCGCCACAACAAGGCATGTCGCGAGCGATTTGATGCCATCTTCCCTAGAGAAGCTGCAGCGCCGCCTACACCGGCGCCAGATGTCGGAGCACCGAAGACACCTGGACCGCTTCCAATGCCTAAGAGTTCAGAGAAAACTTCTTCTTCCTCTTCCACAGGAGCAGTAGAAAAGGAACATTGGGTTGAGCCGGAGACCACTGAAGGTCCCGAGTACTCTCCTGATGAGCTTCCCGAGGGGTATGTCCCACCGGAAGACGTTGCGGCTGGGGTGTATGCCCTGGCGACGAGACAGCTCACCCGGAACGAAGTGTTGTCCCGACCTGATGCACTGCAGGCGATCCGTAAGGAGTTCGATGGTGTTGGTTCCATGGGAACATGGGAGCTTGAGTCGGTTGATGAAGAGTTCCGCGTGAAGGAGGCTGCATTGCAGAGTGGAGAGACGATTCACATTGCAGACTTGCTTGCTATTTGCAGCGAAAAGCACGTTGAGTTGGCTCCAGAGCTTCGTGCTCTGAAAGGTCGTGTGTGCTATCGTGGTGATTCTGCAAAGACGGCTGAAGGAAAGCTAGCACTTTACCAGACGTTAGCTGCGTCTCCTGCGTCGATAGTTGCAGCCAATAGCGTGATCTCTTTTGGTCTTTTTGAGGGACACAAGTTAATTGTCGTCGGCAGACGCTGTCAAGGCTTATCTCCAATCGGAGTTGAAAAGTTTGGCTGCCACATACATCCGTCTCCCAACTATCTTGGCCTGAGTCTTGGTTCACCCCAAGCGGCTACCCCCGCTTCAAAAGACCAATCATTAGATTGCGCAAATCGCTATATGGACACCCAGAAGCTGGGGCCCATTGGCAACAGTTTCTTGAAGAACAGTTGTGTCTCTTAGGAGCAGTCAAGGTTGAAGAGTTTGCATCCACCTTCACCATCCCCACCTTCGGAGGATTGGCAGTGGTTGTCTACGTGGACGACTTGATTCTCTCAGGACCAAGTCAGTGGCACGAGCCTTTCTGGGAGGCGTTGGGTGAAAAGGTGTTGATTGATGACATTGGACCGTTGGGTCGCTTTCTTGGTCGACACCACTCCACTGTCGAGGTTGACAACACAGAGTTCTTTGGCTTTGACATGCGTGCTTACGCTGAGGCTACTGTTCAAGAGTACTTGAGGGTTGCGAACAGCCCAAAGATGAAAGTCGTCGCATCGCCATTCCTCAGCAAGGGGTTCGTTGGAGCAGAAGAGCGTGGTACTCTGGCATCTTCAGCCAGCAGCATTCTAATGAGACTGATGTGGTTGGCACGCCTTGCTCGTCCCGACCTGCTGAGAGTTGTGACTTGGTTGGCAACCATGATACAGTCCTGGACGCAAGCTTGTGATGCGTACCTATACCGTGCCATGTGCTACCTCGAGTGCACCAAGAACGCTATGTTGCTTGGACATGTGCGTGATGCGCCGGAGCATGTGTTTGTTGAACTTTTCGCAGACGCAGACTACTGCGGAGATGATGAACACACCCACAGTACCACTGGTGGATGGCTACAGTTGTCTGGCCCGCGGACATCGTTTCCTTTGGCATGGCTGTCGAAGAAACAGACGGCTACTTGTCGAAGCACGACGGAGGCAGAGACTGTCGCATTGTCGTATGTGCTCTTTGAGGAGGGTTTGCCATTGGTCGAGTTGTATTCCGCAATGCTTGGGCGTCCTGTGTTGTTAAGGCTTCGCGAAGACAACACTGCATGCGCGAAGGTCGTGACTGCTGGATACTCCAAGAAGTTGAGGCATCTCAAACGCGTACATCGCGTGAGTTTGGCTTCGGTGAAGGAGCAGTTGGATCGCGATGACGTAGAACTGAGCCTTGTTGGAACAAGCGACCAGAAAGCCGATGCTTTCACCAAGGCAGTCGAGCCCGCACTATGGCCCAAAACCCTCCAAAACCTTGGAGTGCACCTCGATGGATACACCATCAAACACACCTCAGGCACTGGCCTGAAGCTGGACAAACAGATGGCATTGCAGCCAGATACACCAGCGACAGACGTAGCGACAGGACCTCAGGGCACGACAGGCCCTACCCAGCCAGGGTACAAGAAACGGCAGAAACACAAGCCGAAGAGAATACCTCCGTACAGTGTGCCACAGAACCTTTCCGAACCAGCTGGATAGCCCGGGATTCAGAACTGATCCCAAGCCGTCGAGCAGCTCAGGAGTCAGAGGGGGGAGAAGAAATCCCTCAGCTAGAAACGTCCCCAAGAAGAACTGAGCTTTGAGTGAGGTTGCACACTTCATGTATAGATGACACGTCATGTATAGTTGATGTCTAGGAACACTTGTCCAAGACTGGAATTGTCATGTAAAGACTTGCATCATCGGTAATCGGCTTTGCCGTTTGCACTGTGTCACTGGACGCCAACCTGATTTGGCTCAAGGACTTTGGGAAAACAGACCGTGCCGCGACCGAAAGGATTCGATCGCGATTGTGTCGGCCTACTACGTATATACCAAGGTTCTCGAACTTATCTGTATCACCGGTGTCACAAGGAATGTTGAGGTGCCTTTCTGTCGTTTCTTCAGTGCTCCAAACAAGACGGTCACCAATTGTGTTCATTTGGGGGTTGTATTTCCTTGATTTGTTTCCTGGAAACAGGTGCCACGCTAGTAGTAACAGGTGCCACGCTAGTAGTAACAGGTGCCACGCTACTAGCTCTTCCTCTTCCAGGTCTTTCTTTTGTCTCTCAGTCTCCAACACAAAGCCATAAAAGACCCAAACAACTTGGTGACTCCTAGCTGGACAGGTCTATAACGAACAAGTGGACGACCTCTTGAATCCAGACCACCAAAATGGACAAGGCGAGCCATTTCGCTTGTTCAGTTACCTTCAATCCATGGTCACGTTGACTTTGGATTTGGATGTTACTTGGACTCTCAGAAATTTGGATTGGATTGATTTGAAGCGTTGTCGATTGTCGATGTCAAGCCGATGCTGATCAGCAAAAATGCTGCCAGTGCTGGGAGGTTTGTGTTGGAATGCATTGGCATGTAGAGACAATATACGTTAAACAAGTCTGCATAGGTTTGCAATGTGAAGATGGCACCATCTTCAGTTGGGGGTGATTCTTGAAAATGAGTTCTGGAATCGTGGCGGTGTAAAAATGTGCTTTGGCATGTTTTGAAGATTGGCCAAGAAGTAGAGGAGTAAATATTGGAATTTTATTGGTTTGCTTGGGCTAGTTGAACTGGATGCTCATTTCTCACAGTATCATCCGAAAGCTGCAAAGTGTAACTTAAAAGGGAAGAATGCAGCAAAAAAGAAACCACCACCTCAACGAAGCCGGAGGCAATAACTTGAACGTCCGTGATGGTGGCATCGTAACGGGCTTGAACTGGATTCGATGTATGAAACCCGATGAGATGCTCGCCACTTGGACGCTACAAACGGAGCTCCTGGCCTGACTGGGAACAAAGGGCATCGCTACAAGTAACAAGGACGCGATGTTTTCGGAACGATTTAGGCTTGACACCTAAACCACCGTTATTCGTTCTGATGAACTGGGTGACCAGGTCTTTTCAATGTAGAGATGTGATGGAAAGATGTTTGGAATACACATAGACGCATTTGGATCTCTTTGATGCCAGGGAACGAGCAGTCTTTGTTGTTGCATTCCTTGGGCCTTGGAGGGGTTGCAATTTCAGAAACGTCTCATACCGGGCTGGATATAGCCAGAATACGAAGATGCACAGGTTCTTGAAATACTTGAAATATCGGGGATTACAGATGAAATATCGGTTCTGGAAGATCCTTCATCGCGTGAGTGGATCCTGTTGTAGCTGCAGGAGTCGTTGTCATTTAGATGTAGGGAGCCTTCAGCCTTCAGCCAGGTTTCTGGCAAGCCGAAAGGGCTCAAAAACATATAATTCTATTATAAGATATTCATGATATTCTACTATATGTTTTTCAGTGTGTCTCTTGGGCGCTTCATTTTTTGGTTGGGCATTAAAAGTGTTGACAACCCTGGCTGCCTCGCTGTACTTTGATATAGAGACCTTTCTTACAGATGATTTATCATTTTCTTTGATAAACAGGGTTCCTTCTTTGTCGCTTTCCACGGAAACTGGCAATGTCAATTTTGCCTGACTATTCTTGATGGTCAGAAGCAATCTTTATGAGAAATGGGTTCACACTATGGATATACAGATAGCGCAGCACTAGCAGTATTCCCGGAGGGACTAGCTCAGCCCTTCAGGAAGCCTTCACAAGAGCTCGGGCCAATGTGGTCTATGCGGAGACGAAAATGAACAAGGCCAGGTGCACGGAGATGCCTTTTGTTGACACCAGTGTTGAAGTGTTCAACGATCGTCCTATTTGGCAAGAGTGATGTCCAAAGCTTTTCTGATAGTCACACCTCCTCAAGGCCATTCCGCCTTTGACATGGAAAGCAGAAAGATGTATGTCAAATTATATACTAGGAGCAAGGACGCTACTAGGGGCTCCTGGCATCGCTACTGGGAGCAAGGACGCTACGAACGGGGCTGCTAGCTCCTGGTACTTAAACGGCCTTTTGCCCTTTGTTTCAGGCCTCGAGTCGGAGTCACGCCATCTTCCAGCTGCGGATCTCCAAGCGCGAGCGGGTCTTCGAGGCTGCCAAGACAGGTCAGAAGGTGGAGTGCACCATCGCCAGGCCAGAAATCAACGAAACTCTGTGTTTTTCTTGTGAGATCACTATACAAGCTGATCTGGAAAATCAAGGCTTCTGAGTTGGCCTTAAGCATTTGGAGTGTTCGTTTTTCAAGGCTGAATGTGGTGGATTTGGCGGGCTCAGAACGTGTGCCTTGGTGGAACTTGGGAGGTAAACGGTTGAACAAATCGACACCGTCGCCTCCGGCCTCACATAGTAACTTCTTGCTCCTAGTAGCGTTCTTGCTCCTAGTAGCGATGCCCTTTGTTCCTAGTAGCTTACGCTTGTCGTGTCTCATTTTTTCAACCTCTCTTTTTCTGACCCTACACCATTTCGGGCCTTTTGCATTTTCCCTTTGACTTCAACCGTCATTGTCTGTGGTTGCTTTTTGTATCTTTTTGTCCACCTACGCTTCCAAGTACCGCACTGTATTCCAGTATCCTGTGCACAGAACAGAAGTGTGTAGCAGAGTGTCAGGACTGGTCGGAACAGATCATAACGACCAGGACTGGTGTCATGAGCATTCTTCAAGCTCATTGGACTGAATGCTCATGTGAGGTGAAGAAGTCGGGCTCTGAAGGCATGCGATTTCAGGAAGCAACCAACATTAACCGCAGCTTGTTGGCCTTCGGGATGCTTGGCAGAAAGGTATCATGGATGACAAAGATGCCCTGGAATTTGGATGGTCAAAGATTCTCTGCTGGGTTCGCGTCATGTCAAGTGCAAAATACAATGAATATAGTAAAATATTAATCTATATTATATAAAGTTATGTTCATTTTATGTTACATTATATTGTACTATATTACAATATAAACATATACACTCCTTCTTTCCACCCCCTGTCTTACATTTAAGAAATGGTTCCTCCATTCTCGCATGCAGACATGAACAAGTAGCGTCGTAGCGTCAAGTAGTCGATTTTGCTTGGGATTGTACCTAGGAATGTTGTCAGCGCCTTGGCAGCTCGCAAATCGCATGTGCCATTGCGAGATAGCAAGCTCACCAGGAGCCGGAGCCCAAAGATGTGATAGCCGTTTTGACTAGTCATTTTTGTAACTCGTGAAAAAGCTCCTAGTAGCGTCCTTGCTCCCAGTAAGGCCAGGAGCCCCTAGTAGCGTCCTCGACCCCCTCTTGTTGCCAGGATTTTGGATGGATCCATTGGCGGAAATTGTCGCACCTGCCTACTGGTTTGTGTCAATTCGGCCTTCGAGCATGCGGGGAGCCCAGATGGTCTTTGTGGACCGATCCAGGAAGAAGAAGCTACTAGGAGCAAAGGGCATCCATCGCTACTAGGAGCAAAGGATGCTACTAGGGGCTCCTGGCCATACTAGCAACAATGTTTGCTATTAGAAACAAGAATTAGAATCGGTCTATGGATCTTAGAGAATATCACCTGTGTCAATGAAAGGCTCGTCACACGAAATAGAAATGCGACGCCAAGAAATGCGGTGCAGACCTGTTCAGGTGGGAGAGACTTTGAACACCTTGGAGTTTGCATCGCGAGCGATGCGTGTGGAGGTGTGCTGACTGGTGTGATGTGTGCTGTCCTGGAAACTAAAGTTTTCAATTTGTTTTCAAACTAAGGGTTTTGAGACCGAGTTGTCTTCCAACGGTTGTTTTCATCAACTTTCTCATCTTTCTCCGCACTTGGCCGTGCAAAGGTGGATGCAAAGGTCAATACTGCCCTGGTCGAAGTTAGTGCCAAGGCGACTGGACCGGCATTGAAGTGACGCGGGCCAACGACATTGGACTGATTCAAAAGTAGATCATTAAAAAGTTGAGTTTGAGGATAAGATTGAGACGGGCAAACTTTTGGAGTCAGACTTCTTGAACTGCACAACCCCACATATTCAAACAGCGCCCGGAGAGTGTAGAACAGAAGCAAACAAGAAACCCATCAACACCGACCCTCTGTGGTGCCATTGCCGTGCAGAATCTCCTGGCGGATCTCAATCCTGAAGCTCATGAGTTTGGGAAGAAGGTCATGGCGGACAAGAAGGAAATCGAGGCGAGAGGGCAAGGGCATTGCTACATCGCTACTAGTAATTAACATGTGTTTTCTTTGTTTTTTTTGTCTGCTGCCCACCCTCCCAACAAGGCGGACAAGAAGGCAAAGTAAAGGCAACAAGCAGAATTCGTCCACCAGCCTTTAGGGCCAAAGTAAAGAGGTCTCCACTTCAGGCTTCCCCGAAGCACTTCTTGCCCTATTTCATTCATGCTTCGATCTGATCTGCAGGCTTTGCGGAAGCAATCTGCAGAGGCCGCGGAGCAGGCGAAGAAGGAGGCAGAGAAACGTGAGAAGGTGCCTTTGAGAGCTTTCAGAATGCCAAGCCTCCTAAAAGCGATGGCCTCCAACCCAACAGCAGTGGCCTCCAACCTAATGGCAGCGGCCTCCAACCTAGAGTAATTGAGAATTCTTTCAGGCAAGAAAGCAGTGACATGCACAAAGAGGGGGGTTGTCACAATATTTGAGATTTTTTTTTTGGTTGGAAGAAGCCTGGTTAATGCTTTCGAGCACCAATGCAAGGCACCATCGCACGAGCAGACTCTTGCGTGAGCGAGATTGAGAACCGAGGCAGTGCAAGAAGCTGAAGGCCATGTGAAGAAGTTGCAGCAGGCGGCGCACAGTCAAGAGCTGCCTTGGAACTTGGAAACACTCTTCTTGCTGTTTTGACAAGCATGTCACATGTCTTTAATCACAAACAAACACATTCAATCAATTCAGTCTATTTGCCAAGTCGGATTAGCTTGTTGATTGGGTTTGATGGTTTGCCTGGTTGCAATGCCGCAGACTCCCCCATCTCGCAGCATTTGTGGCAACATTTCGCAAGCTGCAACCAGCTTTGGATGTTCAACATTGTATCACTGAGCTTTGCTTGGTCTGAATTTAGTTGGAAAGGATCATATCAAGTTTTACAGCTGAAGCGGTAACCTGTCTCAAAAGGAGTACACTTGCTGTGCTTTTGCCATGGCGCTGGAAGTGATATCGGCACCCAGCAATCCATTGCCGTGTTTGGGAAGCACAAATGATGAAGTCTTGCTGAAGTCCTGTCGTGCAGCCGTTTCTTTTCCAGCCAATTTTGCTTCAAGACAGAACATTGCCGCAGAACAGACAAACTGTGAGTCAATCTCCGCCAACCCCCCTGGTCAATGTTTCCTATACTGGAGAAAAGAGCACTAAGAACCATGGCACCAAAGTTGGACTTGTTCCTTGCAACAAGCTTGTTCTTTGTGTTCGACTTGCTCTTTGTTGCTGACTACCCCGTACAGCTGGAAGATACGGACGAAGGAGCCGCAACTCGATTCTGCTTTGCTTCTCAGGTGTCGTCCTGGAGAAGCCTTGGTGCTCCGGTGGCAGTTGCGGTTCTCCGAAGATCTGGCACCCGGTGCCCAGCTGCAGCTGAGGAATGGCCAGGCGAGGTGAGCGAAGAGAATACAGGTTGAGAATAAGGGATTTCAAAAAAGGATGAGGCAGATGTGATCGCATTCCCACCTTGTGTCCTGCGGAACCAATGCCCAAACAGATACTGTTTCGCACGTTCATTCTCATGTTTGGCTTTCAGGCCCTAGCTTCGGGATTCTTGCATGTAACATGCCTCATTTAAAAGTGTTTGTCACTTTGGAGTGGCGTACTTCAGGCAGTTGCAGTGATCCCAGATGCAGCTGGAAACTCAGATCGCACTCTTTGGACGCTTTGAGAACAGTGTGACACTTCGCAACAGTGAGATGTTGGATTAGAAGGTTTACTGTCCTGTTTGGTTGGAGAATGCATCCATCTTGTGTGGTTAAGGGCTTCCTCCACATTTGGCAAGTCAAGCATTCACTTAGACCTTTTCTGACTTTAAACTCTCAGAGGTTTGTCCCCGCAAGCTGTTCACTTCCGCCTCATTGGGATTGATATAGCCGTAACATGCCATACCAAATAACTGCATCTCTTAGGTTCTGCCCTTTTGAGCTTTGATTCCATTGCCCATCTATGCCCATTTTCTCATTATATACTCTCAGCTGGTGCCGCAGGAAGGTGTTGCTGCCAGATGTTGGCCGTGTGCGTTTTTGGAGCCTTACTGGTGCCGCTGCAAGATGTCTAAGTCTATGGCCTTTATGTTGCTGCTGCTGCTGCTGCCTGTGTGTTGCTGCTGCTTCCACACTGTAGCTGGAATGGCTATATAGGTCACTCAAACTTTCTGGCAATCTGTAGAAATCTGTACCCTGATGTGACCCGGTCGCATCGGGCCACTACTTGATTAGCTCTTTTCGAGTCACCTGATGTGAAGTTGGTGACAGAACCTTTCGGTCGGCGATGGGAATCGGGAACCTATGAACTCCCCAAGGTGCCGGCGAGGTGCTGCTTTGAGCTCGGCTTGCATGTTGATGCACCCAGCTTCGAGGCCAACGCGGCGCCTCGGCTGAGACTTGACTCTTTTAAACCGGTCAATGTATCAATGAACACAATGAACACTGACACCAAGAAAAGGCAGACAGATGAGTTCAAGGTGCACACCTTTGTTGAGCCTCGGGAATGTTCCATCTTCCAAGTCTAACACAAACCTCCTATTGGTCAGGTTTTGAATGTTTTTTTTTTCGGAGTCTTGCGTGGTTGCCGGAGCAGGTTTTCCATGGGCATTGGTTGGTTGTTTTTCTCTCTAACAAAAGCCTTCCAGAATGCAGACTTATGATCACACACATGTATGGGCAGACCTGAATGGCACATGTGATGTCGGGCTCACATGTGTATGTCGCGCCTTTGGACTATTGACCTAGCAATTGTTTCTGAATGTCCTTGGTCAATTTGAATGTCCTACGCAGACACTGGGAACCTGAAACCATATGAAACCTATTCTATAGTCTCAAAACATGACCTCTGTCGGGCTCTTGGATGACCCTTGGCAGCCATTGAAAAATGACAGGTTCAAAGCTCAAAGATCCATGACCATTCAGATGTTTGCATCAGAACGCATTTTCGATTTCTTTATGAAAAATGAAGTGGTTATGTCAAAGTTGTTTTTCTGGAGTGGTTCGTGTTGTGGTTTCCTGGGGTCACGGAGAATTCTTGCTTTCAGGGGCTCTGTGGTTTAGACAGCCAAGCGAGTTTTTTTGAGGTCCAGCGCTTCGTTTTTACAGCGGGAGAGTTCTCCAGAGATCTCGACGTCGTGCTTGCCATTAGGCTGGGTTCTCAACGATGTGTTTTGCAATTCTTTTCAATGGGTTCTCGAAGTTCTCTCCAGCTTGACCAGCAGAGCAATTAGGATTACATGACAGGTGCAACACGTGCCGTGCGCGTCAACTCGCGCAACATATAAGACAGTTAGTAAGTTCGTTCAGGAGGGATGCCGAGATCGAGGAGCGGCGTGGCTCGGCAAGCTGGCAAGCGGCAATCTGAATTTGAGAGAGGGGAGCTCTTACGGCTTGTGAAGCGCCCGAGGTGCCGAGCCACATCCAGATCTCGGAATCATTCCTGGGAATCACACGAGAAGGACTGAGACGATGAAGAGTCATGCGTAATGGCAGACGTAGAGGAGAAAGACGAGAAGACGAAGAAGACGAGAAGGATGTCAATTCCCTGCCCTCTTCGTTTGCTAACGCCAAAGGCCTTGAGCTTTGAGACAAAAGAAGGCTTCCGTATCTTCTGTATTTCTGCTTTCTTGTTTCTTTCCTTTCTTTGATCTGTAAGGGGGGTGAAGGGTGATAAGGGGTCCAGGTGACACTTCACAAGGAAACATGCTTAAGGAATGAAACTCCCAGAATATCGAAGGATCAGAATTCTTCCGATGCAAAGTCTCTGACGACCCTGCCAAGAATGTGATGGACCTGGACACGCCTTTCCTAAATACTGCACCTTAGCCTGTGACTTTGCCTGCCAGTCCGGCAGTCACGCATGGTGAAAATACATCGTGCTGATCCTTTGTCTGACGATGTCGATTCACTGGAGTGATGAGTTTGGCTTCGAGCTTTGGCTGCTCACCAAAGAAAGCCAATGGATTGATCCCTGCTTGCGTCACATGGCTACTGGTGTCGCGGGTCAGTACGGATTGCTGGTGGTGAGGCTGCCAGCGGCAGAAGCAACCTTACTTCTTCAGCTCTATCCTGAAGACTTGGGCAAAAGACTGTGACAAGCTGACAGGAGCAAAGTGTAGCTGGCATCCCTTCAAGTCACCAAAAGGCTTTGGAAGCAGATCCAGAGAAGCGTGAAGGCCTAAGGCTTGCGTGTGCCTCCGCCAGTGCCAAAGAACATCCACGCCCGATGCCTTCCTCCAAGGGCGCCCCCAGATGAAGGAGTTTCGGGCACACCTCATTTGCCACGCAGCAAAGCCATGCAAAGCCTGCGCTGTTCTCTAGAGCGAGCACGAGAAAAAACATGAAAAAACTACTGTAGTGGTGAGTGCTTGCTGGATTTTGAAAACTGTGTTTTTGCTGAGCCTGGCCGGCTGTGCCAATTTTCTTTTCCGAAGATTGCAACAAACGCGCCCCCTTCAGGCCTCACCCCATCGTCGCTATGAATATGTTTGTATGTTTCGCTTTTTTGACAATCTTAAACTTTTCTGTTGTCCATCAGAACTTTAGGCCTTTGAAAGACTGGTTAGCCTTAAGTAGTTGGAGGCCATCGCTAGTAGGTTGGAGGCCATTATATACTACAAGGAACAAGAGGCTATTGGGAGCAAAGGGCATCGCTACTAGGAGCAAGGACGTTTCTAGTAGCTCCTGGCCTTACTACTACGAAGAAGAAGCTATTGGGCTATTAGGTTGGTTAGCCAATGGCTGAGTTGCAGGATATACTTTGGCAAGGCCCACGGGGCCCAGGCCGAAGCGACGAGCAACGCAAGCATCCACCTCCCGGAGATTGTCACCCAGAGGTGCGGGGCAAGAGTGCAAAAGAATCGTAGTGCCTGGAAGTGTTCGACATGCAGTTACATGCGTCGCTATTAGGGTGGAGGCCATCGCTACTAGGGAGGAGGCCATCGCTAGTAGGTTGGAGGCCACCGCTATTAGGTTAGAGGCCATCGCTACTAGGGTGGAGGCCATTCAGGTTGGTTACATGATCTTACATGCGCCTTTAAAGTTTCGATTGATCGGCGGTTGGCAGAAAACTTGGCGAGGTCTCAAGACGACTGGGCACTTGTCGATCAAACTCGGCTGTTCCCAGAGCTGCCACCGTCTTTAAAGGAAAGATTTGGCAACGAGGCATAGTAACGGTGGAAATCAGTTGTATTTGCATATTGCTATTAGGTTTGAGGCCATCGCTATTAGATTGTATTTGCATATTGGGTGGTTTCTTTTTACACCGGCACCAGAGCCGGCCAGAGCAAGATGCAGCATAGAGAGGAATGCAAGCGACATATCATGTAGGAAGAACAAGGAAGACAATTTTGGGAAGAGAGAGAGAGAGAGAGAGAGTGGGAGAGACCAAAATACATTGAGATGCTGGAGTGTCATGTGCTTTCTCTTTCAACATGATCAAAAGCAGGCCTCTCTTCGTTTCTGGGTGAATGGGAAGGAGAAGGCCGTCATGCCGCGAGAAATGTTTGGAAGATGGATTTCAAGTTTTTGCACGGTTCTGTTTTTGGATGTGGAGTTGTCATTTGCTTTGCCGGTGGGCTAATTACGGAACCTTTGCCGTGCCTCCTTGTTTGATGGTTTCAGATATTTCTACGATATTTTGACCAAACTGCAGGTGGTGTTGAGCGGGCAGTTTCCAGTGACGATGAATCTGGCAGAGTTCCTGCGATATCACCTTGGTCTCACTGGAACCAAGATTGGTTGTGGAGAGGCGAGTGGCACTGGAACTGGCTGGCTGTTGGTTTGATTTTTTCATCTTGCAGACTACAGATCCTACACGAGTTGCAGCTGTATATAGGACCACAAGGA